TAATTTTCATCCCTTTTATATTATTTTCGTCTCTAATATTTCTGTTTAGCACTTCCAAGGTTAACACAAACAACAGAGGTGATAGTGGGCACCCTTGTCTTGTTCCTTTTCTGTCAGTTCTCCCTCTATCATTACCTTTGCCGTTTGCTTATGATATATAGTTTCTGTTACTTGAATAAATTTTTTTGCAAAGCCCATCTGTTCCAGCTGTAATAACATGAATCGCCAATTCACGTTATCAAATGCCTTCTGTGCATCTAGAAATATCAAAACCATTTGTTTTTCAGGATGTGCCTCATATTCCAAAGTGTCCAAGATTATTCTCATATTGTCTTTAATTTGTCTCTTTGGCAAAAATCCATTTTGATCAGAATGGATAAAATTATTTAAGTATTTTTTAAGTCTTTCTGCCAATATTGAAGCAAAAATTTTATAATCTGCGTTTAGTAAGGAAATAGGTCTATAGTTCTTGATTTGTAATGGATCGGCCTCTTCTTTTGGGACAAGTGTAATATAAGCTTCTGACCATGATTTAGGTATCCTCTTCTTTAACATAACTTCATTCATAACTTCTAGCAATGGAAGGTTCAGCAATTCTTGTAATGTTTTATAAAATTCTGCCGGAAGTCCATCTCGGCCTGGTGCCTTTCCATTATTTTGCTTCTTGAGTGCTTCAGTTAACTCCATCATGGTTATATTGCTTTCTAACATTGTTTCAATCTCTTTAGGTATCTGGGGTAGATTAGCATTCTGTAAGTACTGTTTAACTCTTTCCTCATCAATATTCTCTTGTGTGTATAGTTTCCCATAATAGTCTCGTATGGTTTCCTTCTTCTCTTTACTACCACAGCAAACTTGGCCTTGGTCATCTATTAATTGCAATATTTTCCTTGATTCTTTCTCCTTTCTCAATTTATATGCTAACCATCTACCTGGTTTATTTGCATCTTCAAAGTTGTTCTGTTTAGCACCTCTAATTTTCTGTGCTAGTTCTTCTTTTTCTATTAGACCCATTTTATGTTTAATTATATCCATTTTTAAGTCCTTTTTCTGTGGCATTTTCTGTAGCTCTTTTTCAAGTCCTTTATACTCATCTTCTCATGCCTTAGAGGCTAATCTTTTCATAGTATTTCTTTTCCTTGTATAGTCTATAGTCTAGACATAGTCTAACATATAGCCAAATCCTATTATTTACCTGGACTTTTCTCGCACCCCCTGGAATATCATCTCGCACCACCAGGGGGTGCGAGCACCCCAGGTTGGGAACCCCTGGTCTAGAAGAACCTGAAGATTTTGAATTGCTCGAAATGAGTAGGAAACTAACAGCCCCTGGTTCCTCAACCTCTACTTCTTCCTCTCCACCATCTGGAGGACAACGTTCAATACAGACAATGTTACGGCAAGAAAAAGAACAAGAAAAAGTGACCCTGCAGATGATTACTCAAGGAATTCAAAATATTCAAACAAGAACAGAGAATATTGGAAAGAGAACAGAGAACATTGAACAAAGAACAGGGAAAACTGATGAAAAGGTGGAGAACATTCAACAAATGATGATGAAGTATGATGAGAGATTCCAAAAAATTGAAGAAGATAAACAAAGAGACAAGAAGATTGGAGATATTAATAACAGATTAACTGTGGTTGAACAAGATAAAAGTGGGATGTTGAGATGGGAGATGGACAGATCAGAATTTTATCTTAGATTCCAAAATATAGAGGAAGAAAAGGGACAAAACCTAGCTGAGATAATGATAGAAATATTGGCTGAAGTTTTGGAAATAACTGAAGAGAAGATGATGGATGGAATAGATGAGGTTTATCAAGTCTTCACAAGATATGCAATGAGAAATAGCTTACCAAGAGAAGTTCACATTAGATTTACAAAGAAAGCCATTAAAACACAAATATTGCAAGTGGCAAAAGAGAAAACATTGAAATATAAAGACAAGGAAATTGTGGTCTTGAAACAAGTACTCAGAAGAGTGAGAGAGATGAGAAGAGAATACCGATTCCTGACTAAAATGCTACATCAATGGAGGTTTTTAAGATGAGATTGGACAGCCATTTGTCTGGAATGGTACAGAATAACCTGCTTGAGCAGAGTGTTGGCCTAGACAGAAGACCTCCAAAACCCCTTCCAATTTTGTTATTGTAAGGACCTGCCTCAGCTCCCTTCGCAGGAAAGCATGACTCTTGAAAGGAGTTCCCAAGGAACGTTTGCTAAGAGAAGGGATTGCAGAGAATTCAGGTGGAGTCTGAAGATTCCCACACAAAGCATTAAGCTAATTTCCCCTGTTCAACCCCCACCCAGAGCCCCATGTCCACCAGTAGCCAATGCGGTGCTGCAAAGGTGTTATGAGAACTCCAAGGCGGGTTGGTCGTAACAGGTCATCCTCGGGGCGCTGTGGCCTTGGGTAACAGGCTGGGACCAGCTGGGAAGGAATCTATCGTGATCAGTGGTGGGATTCAATTTTTTTTACTACCGGTTCTATGGGTGTGGCTTGGTGGGTGTGGCTCGGTGGGCGTGGTAGGGGAGGGATACTGCAAAATCTCCATTCCCTCCCCACCCCACTAGCCTGCTTTCCAGCTCCATTCTCCTATGAAAGGCAACCAAAGAAGACCCAGCCGATCAGCTGGGACTCAATGGGAGGCAGAGAAGAGATGGGGTTGGCGGGACCAGTCAGAGATGGGATTTGCCGATTCTCCAAACTACTCAAAATTTCTGCTACCGATTCTCCAGAATTGGTCAGAACCGGCTGAATCCCACCTCTGATCCTGATGGCCCAGTCCCCCTCCCCAATTCCCATGCGGTTACAGCCAAAGCCAAAGCAGTCAAAGCAATCAGCCCCTCAAAGCATCCCCCTTCCCCTTCGGAATGGCAGCGTTCTGGCAGGAACCTGACAGGTATTCTGTATTCTGTAGTCCTCACTTAATGACTGATCATTTAACAATTGTTCAAACACCCCTCCACCCCCCCCCCATTTCTTTTTCTTTTTTAAGAAGAAATGCCCATTCTGGAGAAAGGATTTGTTTAAGAACCATTTCTTTTGCTTAATGACTTTGGTGATTTGCTTTAAATCATGTGGTGACCTCTTAATAACCACAACAACTTACAATGGAAATTTTGGTCTCAACTGTGGTCATTAAGTGAGGACCATCTGCAAAGCTGTCATATAGAACGCAGGACAACATTGTGGTAGGCTTACTTTACAAGAAGGTAGGATCTGTTGTAGGTGAGGAAATATTTCCTAGCAATGAGATCCATTCAGCAATGGGTGAGGCTGCCTCTCTGCAAATGGTGGCATCTGACTGGCTGAAGGGGACAGCTGGCACCTGCCAGGAGTGGAGAAGTGCCTGGGCGAGATTTCAGGCTGTTGCTTTTTGTAAAATCTTTAGTCTCAGGAACTCCAATCCTACTCAACTCCCAGAATCACTATCAAAGTCTCGCCTCTATGTCACATTTATTCGACCCCATGGGCGACCAGCATGCAGGACCACAATGGGCTGCTTTAGTTTTGACCGAGCAGGTTTCATGAGCCCAGGTTTTATAAATCAGAGCTCAAGGCTTAGTGCCCTGTAAAAGCCCCGTTAACTGAGCATTATTCAGAGTATAACTTAGCTTGATGCCTGATCTTCCTGTGTGCACTTTTAACTCCCAGGAACTTTGGGGGAAATAAATGAGAGTTTGGTTGTCAGGCTTGCCCAGGGGACTGTGCTCTTCAACCTTTTTTTAAAATAAAAGATGTACATGAGGGGTGTACAAAGGTCTAATAGAACATCCCAGATGACACAAAACTTGGGGGGCGGGGGTGTTGCTAACCCCTCAGATTAGGCTAGAAAACGATGTAAAAGCTGATACAGTTCTACAGAGGAATGATTGAGTCTGTCATCTGCACCTCTTTAACTGTCTGGTTTGGTTCTGCAACCCAACAAGACAGACACAGACTCCAGAGAATAATTAGGACTGCAGAAAAATCAATTGCTACCAACCTGCCTTCCATCGAGGACCTGTATCTGCACGAGTGAAAAAGAGGGCTGTGAAAATATCTACAGACCCCTCACATCCCAGACATAAACTGTTTCAACTCCTTCCCTCAAAACGACGCTACAGAGCACTGCACACCAGAACTGAACACAAGGACAGTGTTCCCCCCTCCTCTGCTAAACAATTCCCTCACCCGTTCAACCATTACAAAGTCTGCACTATTATTACTGTTAAATCTTGTCATCACTCCTGATCACCCATCCCCTCCCACTTGTGACTGTATGACAGTAACTTTGTCTCTTGTATCCTTACGATTTATATGGACTGTTTCCTGGTATGATTTGATTGCTTATTGCACCCTATGACTATCATTAAGTGTTGCACCTGATGATTCTCGACTCTCGACGGACGTCTCTTTTCTTTTATGTGCCCTGAGAGCATTTGCACCAAGACAAATTCCTTGTGTCTCCAATCGCACTTGGCCAATAAAAGAATTCTATATTGCTATTTATTGATTCTCATTTAACAAGGTGTAATTCAAAAATGCAAATTTGCACTTGGCCGAGAACCCCCCCCCCCCGAAGCCTCGGTCCAAGGCGGGCTTGGGGGGCGGGCAGGGGCCGCCTGGGTGCTGCTGCCGCTACCAAAAGAGCCCGGCAATCCTGGCTAGCCTGGCAGAAGCGCCGCGGTGGCTGTTGGCTTAACGGACCGGCCACCTCCGCCTGCTGCCGCCCGGCGCTCCTCGGGACCGCGCCGCAGGGCAGCGGGAGGGAGGGAGGGAAGGCGGGCCGGCCGCGGCTGCCGCCAGGGCCCCACGGAGGCCTCCCTCGCCCAGCGGGCGCCCGCAGAGACGCCGAGCGGGAGGACCCACCGCCAGGGGCGCCCGCCGGCCCGCCCGCCACGGTCCCCCCTCGCGTCCGGCGCGGCTGCCCCCGCGGTCCGGCAGAGGGCAGCGCCGATTCCGCGGCTCTTCTCCGACGCCGCCCCTTCCTCGAGGCGCCTCCCCGCCCGCCGGTGCCCCCGCTCCGCCTCCTCGCCCAGCCAGCCAGCCGGCCTCGCCCGCCCGCCCGCCCTCCCTCTACGCGAGCCCGGGGATCGGAGCGGCGCGCCAGGCCCCAGGTAGGCAGGAGGGCGGCGCCGGGGGGGCTTCGGGCGAGCCAGGCCGCTGCGGGGCCGAGCGGGAGGGCGCCGCGCTCCGTCTGCCGGGTCCGCCTCGCCCGGGAAGCGCGCAGGCCCTTCCCGCCCGGCGGTCAGCGCCCTCGGCCTGCGGGGCTTCCGGCCCCCGCCGCTCCGATCCCCGGGTCGCCCGCCGGGCTTCCCCAGATCAGCCGGGAGCGTCGGGCGGCCCAGCAACGCTGCGGCAGAGGAAGCGCGGCCCGGGGACAGCCGGGGGGGCCTCGCCGCCTGCCCGGCGGAGGCCGGCTCGCCCGATCGGGCCCTTTGCGGCGTAGCGTTAAGGCCGCCGCTGCGCCCCCTTGCCCCCACGCTCCGCTCCGAGGGCAGAGCCGGCAGAGGGAGGGCGGCCCCGAAGGCCGGTGCGGCTCCTGTGCTCCCCTTCCCTGCCTTCGGAGGAGCGGAAAGAGGCGAGGATCCGGGCCGGGTTTGTGCCGCCCCCCCCCCCCAAGCACCCCCGGGTGGAACAAGCGCCGGGCTGGGCTGGCTGCACGCCTGATGCGTGGCGACCTTTGCGGGGCTTTGGGGTTTGTTCCATCCTCGGCAGGACTTGCCCGGGGGACCCTCCGGCTCTGCAGCTGCAGCCGGGCTGCCTGAGTGGAGACCAGGGAAGGGCAGCCCTTCTGCTCTGGGGGGAGCTGGGCAGATGCCCTGGGACCCGTGTCCAATATTGCCCCCCTCCTCAAAGCAGAAAGGGCACCTGGGGACTGAGGCTGGGGGGTCCCCCGAGAGCAGCCAAAGGGTCCCTTTACTGTGGAGCCTAAAGAGGAACCATGAGGCCATGGGGACATTCTTAGGCAACCTGTCACTTCCTTTGAAAGAAATGGGATTGATCCCAAGGCTCCTCTGAGTTTTCTTCGGTTTCCATCCGCCGTCCTTGCAGTGAGTATTTTTCTGATTGTAACAGACTGGTCTTCCCAGGCTGTTGATCACAGATCCTAAGTTCGGATCTTCTTAACTTTAAAAAAAAAAAAAAAGAGGATCTCCTAGGCCTCTTAGTAACAGGCACTGGGACTTCTGCTGCTCACGTGGCTTCTTGGTTTCAGAATGGAGTGAACTCCAGGTGGCCGGGAAGCAAGCAAGATATTTCAATTCAGGGCCTTGGGGGGGGGGGGATCTTGAAATATGGCCTGTTTAGGGTTAACGCTCTCTTCCTGATTCTGATCCCCAGTTTTCAATGCTGCGTTTTCGGGTAAAGGAACCTTCTTTTGAGAGCTCCCACACGCTGATCCCAACCTGAAACCCGCTTCTGTTGGAAAAGGCAGTTGCCGGTGATTCTTACTAGCCTACTCTCTTCCTTTGCAGGTTCCCACAGAGATTTTCTGGAAGAAGGGGCTGGGACCACAAGGTGACCGCCGGAATGTCTGGCCTGCTTTGGTCTGATGTGTCTCAAAGGTAGCTGGACCCTCCTGCGAGGATTCGCACGACCCCTCTAGCGATCGCTCTCTAGGAATAGGTTTCCTTGGTTGCTCGGCCTTCAGTTGAGCAGCAAAACCGCTCACTGTGGAACCCCCTCTTTTTCTCCCCAGCATGTCAGAGACCTGGTCCCAGCAGCCGCCACCCCCCCAGCAGCCCCCCCACCACGGGGCCACGGCCGCCCTTCCTGAGCACCCCATCCCGCCCAGTGCGGTGACCGAGAACCCTTTGGGCTGCGCCGTCTATGGTATCCTCCTGCAGCCGGAGCCCAGCGGGTTGCAGCACCCACCCATCCCTGCCAGCGGTGGAGGAGAGGCCTCTCCCAAATGTGGGGTTTGTGGGCACGACCTGTCTCACCTCTCCAACCCCCAGGAGCACCAGTGCCTACAAGGCGGCCACGACCGCTCCTTCCAGTGCACTCAGTGCATGAAGGTTTTCCACCAGGCCACGGACCTCCTGGAGCACCAGTGCCTGCAGGTGGAGCAGAAGCCCTTCGTCTGCGGTGTCTGCAAGATGGGCTTCTCCCTGCTCACCTCGCTGGCCCAGCACCACAGCGTCCATAATGGCAACACGGCCGTCAAGTGCTCCATCTGTGAAAAGACCTACAAGGCGGCCGCGGCGGCAGTGGCAGCTCCCGAGGAGCCGGCCCCCCCACAGCAGCCAGCGGCCCTCAACCGGGCCCCCGCGGAGAAGCCATACAGCTGCTCCATCTGCCAGAAGCCCTTCAAGCACCTCTCGGAGCTGTCGCGGCACGAGCGGGTGCACACCGGGGAGAAGCCCTACAAGTGCAGCCTGTGCGAGAAGAGCTTCAGCCAGTCCTCGCACCTGGTGCACCACAAGCGCACACACAGCGCCGAGCGGCCCTACAAGTGCACCGTGTGCGAGAAGGCCTTCAAGCACCGCTCCCACTTGGTGCGCCACATGTACGCTCACTCGGGCGAGGCCCACCTCTTCCGCTGCAACGTCTGCGAGTTGCACTTCAAAGAGTCCTCGGAGCTGCTGCAGCACCCCTGCACGCCCAGCGGTGAGCGGCCCTTCCGCTGTGCGGCTTGCCACAAGGCCTTCCGGCGGCCCTCGGACCTCCGGCAGCACGAGCGCACCCACAGCACGGAGCGCCCCTTTCAGTGCGACCTCTGCCCGATGAGCTTCAAGCAACAGTATGCGCTCATGCGCCACCGCCGCACTCACAAGGCCGTGGTCCCCGCCCCTCCTTCCGAGCAGGAGGCCGCCCCGCTGCCCTTCAAGTGCTCCCTGTGTGAGAAGGGCTTTGTGCAGCCAGCGCACCTGCTCTACCACCAGCACGTCCATGGCATCGAGAATCTCTTCAAGTGCAACGCCTGCCAGAAGGGCTTCAGCCAGTCCTCCGAGCTGCTGCGCCACCGCTGCGTGCAGAGCGCGGAGCGGCCCTTCAAGTGCACGGCCTGCAGCAAGGCCTACAAGCGGGCCTCCGCCTTGCAGAAGCACCAGCTGGCTTCGCACTGTGCCGAGAAGCCCCTCCGCTGCACCCTGTGTGAACGGCGCTTCTTCTCCTCCTCGGAGTTTGTGCAGCACCGCTGCGACCCTGCCCGGGAGCGGCCCCTGAAGTGCCCGGACTGCCAGAAGCGCTTCAAGTACGCCTCCGACCTGCAGCGCCACCGGCGTGTCCACACGGGGGAAAAGCCGTACAAGTGCCCCTCCTGTGAGAAGGCCTTCAAGCAGCGGGAGCACCTGAACAAGCACCACGGGGTCCACACCCGGGAGCAGCACTACAAGTGCATGTGGTGTGGCGAGCGCTTCCTGGACCTGGGCCTGCTGCAGGAGCACAGCGCGCAGCACACCTCCACAGAAGGCACTTACACGGTGGCCCCCTGCCTGCCCTGAGCGGTGCCAAGCGCAGCCCTCGTGCCCCGGCAGAGTAAACCGAGCTTCGGGGGCCGCACCAGGCCAGGGCCAGCCTGCCAGGGCCTGGCCTCGCCCTGCCACTGTGGTGCCACTGTGTTTACGGAGCCAAGGGCTGACTCTGGAGTGGATGAGGGAGCAGGACGCTGGGAGCGGCTGAGGATGAGGGGCCGAGAAGGAGGGAGGGAGGGAGGGAGGGAGGCATGCATGCCAGGCTAGAAGGCCTCCTCTCCCTCATTGCCGTGGGTTCTCCATGCAGCCGATGCTCCAGCCAGCCACCCTTATATGGTGGTTTTGGCTTCGGTCGCCTACAGCCATTGGGACTGGATTTCCTCCACTCCAGCCCTTGGAAATGCAACCCGAGGGGCATGGAGGAAAACTCAATTTATCTATTTAAACGTATTATTAAAGCTAGAGCATCCCCCCCCCCCCCCCCCCCCCCCCCCTCCCCCCCCCCCCCCCCTCCGTTGTGGTATAAATAGATAGGCTTCTTCTCTGTGTAACCTCTGAGAAATGTAAACATTCAAGACATGCAACTGAAGAGAGCTGAGCTGGGACAGAAAACATTCATTAAAACTGCACTGACCTGTCCTGGGATTGTATCTTTTGGAACCCAAAAGCCCAAGTGCGAAAAGGCTGCACTTGCCAGTCATATAAACCAGATTTGAGACAGTTGAGCAGTTTTCTGCACATGCCTTCGCCAGGGACCAGCGTGTGTGTGTGTGTGTGTGTGTGCAGCAGGGGTGTCTAGGCATATACAAGATGTATGAGGTACATAGAACCACTTACTGCATTAAATTAGAACAGGGGTCCCCAAACTTGGCAACTTTTAAGACTCCAGCTGGCTGGAGAATTCTGGGAGTTGAAGTCAACAAATCTTAAAAGTTGCCAAGTTTGGGGACCCCTGAATTAGAAGATGGCTACAAACCGGCAGTGGGGTCAGTAAAAAAAAAACCCAAGTGATGCTATCCTTTTTGGGGGGAGGGGAAGAGGGGGCTTTCTATCCCAGGTCTCTTTGGAGGCGGCATCGTATTTGGAGGAGGAGCAGAGTATAACCCGTTTGGGGTGGTGGTGGGGGGAGCAAGGAGAGCTTCTGTTTTCTCCCTGTCGAGTCCTGGGCCTTTTCACGGCCTCCCAGCAGCGCAGGGGTAGCTTTTAGAGAGGGATTTCCCCTTTTTGGAATGGCCTTTAAAAAAAAAAGGGGGCGAGTAACGCAACCATGTAGCTCAGCTGGACGTGAGTTTTACAGCCTTGCAAAAGCTGCAGTGGAATCTCTGGGAATTTGAACCCATCAGTTGGTCTTTCTTTGGGGGTGGGGTGGGGTGGAAGGCTCCAGCCTCTTGGGGGGGATGGGGGACTTGAAAGGCTTTGCCCAGAGAGCCGGCCAGGCAGGATATTGTGAGATGGAAGCAGGCCTCTCCCTTTCCGGAGAGCGGAGAAGGCCCTCCTCCCTTGGGAGGCTTTTGTAGGCTTCCTTTCTGCAGGCTCCATTGTTTCAGTCCCCTCCTCCTCCTCCTCCTCCTCCTCCTCTGCCTATTTGCCACCTCTCCTGCCCGAGCCCCTTTTTGTCTGTGCTGCACCCCCGCCCCCCGCTTGCTTGGGCCTTTTCCTGAGCTGAATTCTGAATATTCCTGGGGACACCCGGACCTCCCAGGCTGATTTGGCCAAGGACAGTTCCTGGCCCCTTGTTCTTTGCTGCCTTTGCTCCCCCTGGACCGGAGAGGCTGCTCCTGTCTGGTATCAAGCAGGGCTGGTCTTGGAAGGGAAGTGGCCTCCTTGCCTGCGGGCCCTGCAGGCTGCTCCCAGCAGGCAGAATCCTCCCTTGATGGCCATTTTGGGGGGAGGGAGCTATATTTTCACTCCGAGCGTTCAGGAAGCAACGGGCAGCCTGGGTGATTCAGCTACAGAGAGAGCTTGAGGTCCTAAGCAGGAAGGCCCAGAGAGGCCTCTGCCTTTGGAGCCAGAGTCCCTGAGGAGACTTCAAAGGCAAGCACCCAACCCAACCCAACCCAACCCTTGCACAAAGTGCTATCTGTTCATATTCTCTCCCTCCCTCCCTCCATGTGTGTGTATGTGTGTGTATATGTATGTGTCTGTGTGTATACGCACACACACACACACACACAATTGGTCACTGCACACAGAGGTCCAAAGCAAGGATTGAAGCAGAGGAACAACCAGGGGCTTGTAATGAAGTGTTGCACCTGAGGCAGGGGTGGGATTGTACCAGTTCGCACCTATTCACTAGAACCAGTTGTTAACATTCTAAGCAGTTTGGAGAACCGGTTGTTAGAAGAAATTACTGGCCTAATCCTGTAAGGAAGGAAACATTCTGGTGTTGCTTACAGAAACTTCCTCTCCATTAACCCTTATTACATTCTTGGCAGGACTAGACTTCCTGTCTCAGGAACCTCTCTGGAGTTTTTTTTCCCTCCTTTGCTGGTCCTTTGCTTGTGTGGAGTGACCATTCAAAGTTACAGTGGCATTGAAAAAAGTGACTTATGACCATTTTTCACACGACTGTTGCAGCATCCCACAGTCATGTGAGGCCAGGCGAGGAGATGCGTGCCTCGATGTGAGTGATGTTGAGTTGGCCACACGCAGCCAGTCACATGACCAAGCCACGCCCACCAACTAAGCCATGCCCACAGAACCGGTTGTTAAAAAAATTGAATCCCACCCCTGACCGTGAACCACACAAACTACTGCAAAATTACCGCAAAATTACATGTTACAGAATGACGTTTTGCTGGGAAACAATCCATGGCCTTCCACTGAACCAGAGTTTAAGGCTGACTCTCTTGTCAGGTGTCTAGCACATGGGTTTTCATGGTCAGCCATTATAATGCCCTTGGCTCGGCCTTCCACCTGGAGCCCAGAGGCAGGTTCTCCCCTGCCGTTTTGCCCTCCAGTGCAAAATCCCAACAACATTTAAGGAGGAGAAAGGGCGACATCCCTGCAGTTTTGGGAGAATAGTTTCTATCCTGTGCTTTGCTAGGGTCGAGGGTTGCTGGGAGGGACATTTTCCTTTTGAGAGCACAGGAATCACTAAGAAAAAGATTTCTCAGTTCATCTTATTGTAAAAATGGAGGTAAATGATTCCATAAAAATGAATTTAGTTGGCTTGCTTAGATTTATTTTGAGCGGATGATGAACAAAATTAAAATCAACTAAAAGCAGCTCCAGCCAAGAATATAAAAATTAAAATATGTAGCAGCTGAGGAAGGTGTCAAACACAGCCAGAAGGCAGGCAGGCTCCTTCACACAACTGGACTCCCATGTCCAGATGCAAAATGTGCTTTGCTTGTCTATTGTTAAAATATTTCTTGCTGGGTTCTAGGCAAAATTTGGAAGGGAAATACTCTTGTGTACCGTATCCTGGGCAGATTTCCCAATAATAATATTCAAAAATTGAACATTTTTAAACAAATATGCTCTTTTTGCCAAGAGCTCAGAACTGTTCTTTCTGTTTATCTGTTGCAACATCCTTTAGGTTAGGTCAGGCATGAGAAAATGAATTTGCCCAACAATGTACGTATAGGCTAGGTTAAGGCAGGTTCCTGTGGACAAGTTCAGTTAAGCACCAGAATGGGGAATAGGATGGGCAAAATGCCAGCACTTTTGAAAGAAGTCAGCATGTCAAGAACCGCACACATTTAATAACTCAGTTGTTGCAGGACGAGGCTTCTGGATTTTCATTCTGCTGATCCCTAAAGAGCTCAGGCAGCACATCTGTTTCTCTCCCCCCAGCCTTTCCCCGTTTTCACAGTTTGCTGTGTGTGTGTAAGAATGTGTCCCAAGTGGGAGGGGGCTGGTCCCAAACCAATGCCAAGACCAACATTTGGGCGTTTGCAGAAGGCACATGTATCCTTAATGCAGGTCTAGAGACATAGCGTTGCTGCAGTACCTGAAACGGTGTTTGTTCCATCTAGGTCAAGAGCCTTCAAACGTGGGCAACTTTAAGACTTGTGGACTTCAACTCCCAGAATTCTTGAGCTAACATGACTGGAGGAGGGATTCTGGGAGTTGAAGTCCACAAGTCTTAAAGTTGGCAAGTTTGGGGACCCCCGATCTAGGTCAACATGAGCAATATGTCTCTAGCAATACAATTCCAAGGTTGGATTGTGCAGAGCAGCCTCTGGTGGATATTTGTGCAATTCAGGGCAAACGAGGAATCGGGCATCCAAAACCTGGTAGACCCCAGAGTTACCTTAGGTCAGGGGTCGCCAACCTTTTGGGCCTCAGGGACCACCAAACTCATAATTTTAAATCCCGGGGACCACCAATATGAATTTTGACTGGTGGTGGCTTGCTGACGTTGGAGAGAGGGAGGAGAGAGAAAGAGATCTGATCTAACCTCTCTCTCCCTCTCTCATACACACAAACACACAGAGGCAGGGGTGAGATTCAAATTTCTTAACAACCAGTTCTTGGGCATGACCTAATTTGTGGGTGTGGCTTGATGGTCGTGTGACTGGCTGGGCATGCCGTGTATGTAAATAATATAATGTGTAAATATTGAATTTTTTATTTAAAAAAGTAACTTTTACCCAAAAGCAGGCAGGCAGATTGAGTTGCTCACAGAATCACAGATTCATTCAGAGATCGGTCTGTCTGCTATCAGCTACCTGAGTCTGCACTGAATAATAGAAAGTTCAGTCCTAAGGAAGGTTTGGCTCTGCTTAAAAGCAGAGCCAAAGATCTAAAGATCTAGAAAGCACCATCAGTCAAATCCAATGATTTCCTGATTCCTAGCTAATCTAAATCTCTTGGCACAGCTGATAGTCAGAACAGCTGATGGTCGGGAAAAAAAAAGGAAAAATAACAACTTAGCAGGCAAGTTTGCCAGGTAAGGAGTGAATGGGTGGGGAGGGTTCCTGCAGGCCATGTGGACAGTGCAGCCTTGTGTTCTCGCACAGCCTGGATTAATTGCTTTGGGGGGGTGCACTGGGGTGACATTTCTCTGCAGACCACCAAAATTTTCTCACGAACCCCCAGTGGGCC